GCTCTTTCATCTAGTTGTCCGCTGCATGTGATTTAAAATTATCTCTCCATTTTGCTTCTTGAGCACTGGTTCACTGTGGAAAGATTCAAAGGAAGTTAATTCTTTTCCTCCTGGGGTGTTAAATATTTCCTTGCTTGCAAAATGAAAAGATAATGCAGCCTGAGATAATTAATGTCTATTTCTTCCTCAACATTTTAATTTAAGTGGCTCACAAGCTTCCTGCTGCTCCATTATACCTTGCTCAGTTAAAACTTAGTATTTTCCTTCCATTATCATATAGAGGCTTACAGACACACATGGAGTGAAAAAAAAAATCAAAACGATGATGAGAAAGCTCAAAGAAAAAATGTTAGAACTTTATAGAGGGAACCACACCATTTTCTTACTTGTGTCCCTGTATTAAACAAAATATGTCTGGGCTTTATTGTCAAGTCTACCTTGTTCCCTTCTCCTGGAAATAAGAATATCACAGAGCAAAAGAATGTGGTTTTGAAGCAGGGATTTGTAAACAGGGAAGCATGCCAAGAATATTGTCTTTACTCCCATCTCCTGTCATCAGATTTGGGACTAAAGATGAGATGGTTGAGTCTTTCTGATTGCCCGCTGAAGGGTTTATGTTCAACTAGTAGCAAATCAGGCTGCACTGCATGCATTATCTGAGCACTTGGATTATACTAGAGAGAAATAATTATAGCTGCTTCCCCTAGCTGGGGAAAAAGTTAAAAAATATAACAAGAAAAAAGCAAAACAAGGGCTCCTAAGAGAAAGGAAGAGTGAAATACAAAGACAAGCACAAAAATAGCTTTTTTCAAATATATTGGAGTAAAAGAAGCTTTATAACTGGCAGCATTAGCAATTCTACAGTTATAGATGTGTTTACTGTGCTTCACAAATATCACTCAGCTAGTGTAACACAGGAACCATTCCACTGATTTAAGCAGAGTTGTATTGCTTTGCATTAGCTGGGATCTGTCACACTGTATTTATTCATCAAATGATGCTAATCTTCTGATTTCAATATAGGCTTCTTAGATGTCATTGATGGACAATGGGCAAATGCATGCTTATTTGTAACCCACATTGAGCTATGCAATTTGTGGGGCAATTCAACATTACAAAGCGTCTAACTACTGTAGGGGAATAGCTGATTGATTTAATTTAAAATGAACTAAATTCTCCAACAATAAAAGGCACGCAATACTGAGATTCAGATGCAAGGACAGAGAGAGAGGAACTAGCATTGGTTGGACTTGCACAACACTAGAAAATAATCCTGACTTTCAATGCCTGAAATTTTCCAGAGAGAAGTTTAGGTTAAAGAGTAAGTGCTGTATTGCACTGGAAGAAAATACTTTTTTTTTTTGTGTGTGTGTGTGTGTGTGCTGAAAAACGTATAGATTTGTGAGAGACTAGTTTTTCTGACACTGTGTCCAGAAGTATTTTTGGTTTTGTATCCCATTTCTCCTTTCTGCTTGTACTTATTTTCTAATTCTTGCTCTTCTGCTATTTGAGCAAAACTAAAGGGCAAGAGAACAAGTGCTCAAATCTTACCTAAACCCCCCAATGTGTTTTCATTTCAGAATTACTTGCATTTACTGCAACAGGGTGGTAAAAATGATTGTATTCATATGGATTTTTCTTGCTGTTATGTTTTCTCTGTAAATCCAGACTATTAAAAATGCCACAAGGGTTTGGAAATGCAAGGGATTCATTTCTACTTTTGCTCAAACCTGCGCTGTTTTTCTCACTACCTAGGTAACACAGAGTTTAGTGTCAGATCTTTGGGCAAATATTCCCCAAGTGTAAAATTAATGATTTCTTGCAGCAAACTCTTAGTGCAGTAAATCATGAATATTTTTCTGTGATGGCAGATAAAGACACATCATCCCATAATTCTTGCTAATGTGTGCAAACAATAATGCATATGGCAAAGGAAATGACTGATGAAAAATTCAAGTATGAATAACAAGATGGATACTATGGTGAAATACATTGCGTAAACCTTTGCAGAAACTATGACTGCTCTTGAATCTTATCCAATACCAGATGCCAGACTGAGTTAGTCTACAAGTCCATGTGATCTAGCAATCTGCTTCAGCTTATAACTATCTGAGAGCTAGTTTGCTTCAGAGAGGCTGAAAAAGTTGGTAACAACTCGCTACAAGCACATCTAGGAGAAACTATTTATTCAGTTCTTCAAACAGTTATGTCCAATTCCTAGCAAACAGTATGATTATTCGTATTTTAGCAATAAATTAAGACCTTACTGGTTCAATAACTCAGTGTTATTAACTCCGTGTCACTTCAAGAATTCATGCACCTGCACAAATGATTTGATATTACATGTGAAACCACATAAAAGATCAAGAAATATGTTAGCTAACGTACTTCAAGAACTACTGTATACTTCTAGCTAAATTCCACATGGCAGTAGTACGGATCAGAAGTATTTGTTCCTTGGTGCTGATTTGCTCCTCAGGATCCTATGCATCTGATCTTCAACTGTACATCTTCCCTTTTCTTAAACACTTCAATGGCTTGCATTAATGAACTTACAATGATTTAGAAAGTAAATTTGTAAATTCACAGACATAGGTAAAGAAATCAGAAGCAAAAGAAGCTTAACAAATTGCAAGATAGTCTAGCCTTAAAATGAAGTAATCACTATACCCTCACAGAGCATGCAAGAACAAGGGCTATGACATTTACTAGGATTGCTGTGATCTTAATTTCACAGTAATACAAATATTGAAAAGTTGTTTTATGAATTGACAGGTTCCTTTTCTTAATTTCCTATCCATATACAATAAAAAAAAGGTAAAGAAAGAAAAGAGGAGGAAGTTAAAAAAGTTTTAAATGTCAAGGAATGTTTAACATTCTTAAATTGATATATCCACCCTCTGATATACTTTGAGATTCTAAGTCTTATTCCATTGCCAATTTCACAGGCTGAAAAAAATTCACTGTTCAATTTATTTATTGCTAGTAGATCAATTTAAATGCTATATTGCGGTGCATATCCGGACTGAAAACATTGCTAAATGTTCCAAGATATTAACTCTTTCTTGCATAAACAATGGTACTAGTTATCCATCCCATATCTGTATATTTACATCATTTTTCGTTATGCAATATATTTTAGGACCTTATTCCATTATTTCCTCTGCCTGTATCTACTTCCAACTGTCTCCATTTGCTCTGTAGCCACCAGCTCTTCCCCCTCCCCTTTCTTGGGTAAGATTCGCAATGAAAACTGTTCGAGAAGTTCCAAAATAGCCAGTTGTCCTGGTTTTGGCAGGGATAGAGTTAATTTCCTTCCTAGTAGCTAGTACAGTGCTGTGGTTTGGATTTAGGATGAAAACAATGTTGATAACACACTGGTGTTTTAGTTGTTGCTAAGTAGTGCTTACACTAGTCAAGGACTTTTCAGCTTCCCATGCCCTGCCAGCGAGAAGCTGGGAGGGGGCACAGCCAGGACAGCTGACCCAAACTGGCCCAAGGGATATTCCATACCATGTGACGTCATGCTCAGTACATAAACTGGGGAAAGCTGGCCCAGGGGGGCCGCTGCTCGGGGACTGGCT